TGAATTTCTCAGCAATCCACAATGATGTTAGTGAAACTGTGGTTCACCAAATCTCATGAAAACTTTGCCTCCTTTGCAACAGATTCCAATTCATTACTCTCAAAGAACCACCTTAGAAATCTCTCAAAGATGCTTTGTCACAGGCTACATAAGTAACCACTCACATCTGGTGGCCCAATCTTTTCTCTGTAGACTGTTTTCCTCAGGATTCTTGAGATTGGATGCAAGTGCCTAATTGCCGGTTTAATTCTAGTTTGTTGCCAAACTGCTTCACAGAGCGATACTTCCTCTATATTTCCTAAACTCTCAGGCCCGAAATGGGTGGTCAATTGACTTCCATGTATTTAACCTACTTAGTCCTGAGATTACATCCTGCAATTAGACTTTAAGCAATACTTTGAGGATGTTCAGACAAGGTGTAGGTAGGGAGAGGTAAAGTGTGTTGCGTGGTAGTTACATGTGGACTAAAGTGAGAGAATGGGATTGTATTTGTGAGGGACTGTTATCACATTGGATATGTGCTGTGAGCAACATGGCTTTGTAGCTGTTGTGACGTGCCATTGCTGCTTATGGGCAATATTGGATTGTCAATGCTTGGGCAGATGAACAGCGGTCTTTCAAAATAAAGTACCTGCAAGGGATGCTTGTCATTAGGTGGATATCCGCTCAGTAGTGGGTTGTTTTGAAAACAGTGCATGGTAAAATGGGGTGGAAATTGGGAGGCATGGCATAGAAGTGGTGTAGGTAATTAATGAGGCAAGTTTGCTAAGATAGCTGAGAAAACTCACTAGGCTTCACCCTTCAAAAAACTCAATGCAACTTGGACTTAGTCAAAACAAGTAAGATTCAGCCCTATGATTCTAGCTAGCTTTCTTTCATGCTCCAACTCTTCCTCTTGTTATTATTTTTGCCATTCATTGCTGTATTTTATATACTGTACAATTTTCTCATCTGATACCCTCACTACGCCATTGTAAGCTTTTTCTTTAAGTTTAATGTTATTTTTAACTTTATAAATTACTAGTAGATGGTAATTCCTCTCAATTTTGTTAAAATTAGAATGTAACTATTCTGCATTTTCTAAAATATCTCCTTGAATGTGTGCAAACCTGAATGAATTGCAAACCTGAGATAACAAGGTGTAGAGCTGGATGAACACAGCAGGCCAAGCAGCATCATAGGAGCAGGAAGGCTGACATTTCAGGCCTAGACCCTTCATCAGAAAATTGCAAACCTATTGAACAATAGCAAAAGCTGAGGCTTTCTCTCCCACTCCTCCCCTACCTCACTTGCAGTCATACCCTCCACTGGTGACCAAATCTGTGGATACTGTTCTAATGCATGTGACCACCTCCTGGAAAAAAGAATTCAGGTAACTTTCCCCTCCATAATGTGTTGCAATGTATGTAGTTTGGCTTCCACCTCAAAGTGGAGCTCTTCACATTACAAGCACTTACGGCTGACAAGTTTGCCCTGAATCACACTGGCATCAGAAGCACCCATATTTTGCAATGAAAACATGGTGCTAACTCATTCCAACAGCCTTTCATTATAATGCTAAAGAGGCCCATTAAGTTACAGGGAAAAGTGCCGGGGGTGGTGGGGCTGGTGGGGAGTGTGGAGTGGACAAGGGAGTCAAAGAGAGAGTGGTCCCTCCGGAAAGCAGATAAGGGTGGGGAGGGAAAAATATCTTTGATTGGTGGGGTCAGATTGCAGATGGTGGAAGTGTCGGAGGATGATGCGTTGGATCTGGAGGTTGGTGGGGTGGTATGTGAGGACAAGGGGGATTCTGTTTTGGTTGTTATTGCGGGGAGGAGGTGTGAGGGATGAGTTGCGGGAAATGCGAGAGACACAGTCAACCACTGTGGAGGGGAAGTTGCAGTCCTTGAAAAACGAGGACATCTGGGATGTCAGGGAGTGGAATCCCTCATCTTGGGAGCAGATGCGGCAGAGGCAAAGGAATTGGGAATAGGGGATGGCATTTTTGCAGGAAGCTGGGTGAGAGGAGGTGTATTCTAGGTAGATGTGGGAGTCGGTAGGCTTGAAATGGATATTGGTTTCCAGGTGGTTGCCAGAGATGGAAACAGAGAGGTCCAGGAAGGGGAGAGAGGTATCAGAGATGGTCCAGGTGAACTTAACGTTGGGGTGGAAGGTGTTAGTGAAGTGGATGAACTGTTTGAGCTCCTCGTGGGAGCACGAGGCAGCGCCGATACAGTATCGATGTAACGGAGGAAGACGTGGGGGATAGGGCCAGTGTAGCTTTGGAAGAGGGATTGTACCACGTATCCTACAAAGAGGCAGGCATAGCTTGGGCCCATGCTGGTACCCATGGCCACCCCCTTTGTCTGTAGGAAGTGGGAGGAATTGAAAGAGAAGTTGTTAAGGGCGAGGACGAGTTCAGCTAAGCGAATGAGGGTGTCAGTGGAGGGGGACTGGTCGGGTCTGCGGGACAGGAAGAAGCAGAAGGCCTTTAGGCCATCTGCATGGGGAATGCAAGTGTATAGGGACTGAACGTCCATGGTAAAAATGAAGTGTTGGGGACCAGGGAATCGGAAGTTTTGGAGGAGGTGGAGGGCGTGAGTGGTGTCACGGACGTAGGTGGGGAGTTCCTGGACCAAGGGGGAGAAAATGGAGTCGAGATAAGTGGAGATAAGTTCGGTGGGGCAGGAGCAGGCGGAGACAATGGGTCGACCAGGGCAGTCAGGTTTGTGGATTTTGGGAATGTGATAGAAACGGGCAGTGTGGGTTTGGGGAACGATGAGGTTGGAGGCTGTGGGTGGGAGGTCACCTGAAGTGATGAGGTTGTGGATGGTTTGGGAGATGATGGTTTGGTGGTCGGGGGTGGGGTCATGATCAAGGGGGCGGTAGGAGGAGGTGTCAGAGAGTTGGTGTCTGGCCTCAGCAATGTAGGGGTCAGTGCGCCATACTACAAATGCGCTAATTATAAGTTGCCCTGAATTTCAAATTTTAAAAAAAGTTATTTTGTATTCAAATCTGCCTAATTTTTCCAGTCCAACTCAACTAATCTTTTTATGTGCTTCCAGGTCTACAATCCTGCCTTCCCAGCTCATTCCCCTTGTAATTACAGTCTCTTGTCCATTCTTTCTTTCTCCCCACCCCTGGTGCCCCTGCTCATAGCATTGTCAGTCACACTCTGGAATTACCTCTGTAAATCCCTCCACCCCATTCCTTTTCACTCCTTTCAAGGAAACGCTTAAAAGTCACCTTCACCATTTGATGGTCTCTCTATATACCCCTTTTACAGCATTTGTTTTGCTGGCACCTATGTACAACAGTTTGGACACTCCTTAACATTGAAGTAAATAGGTTAAGATGTTATTGCATCCCTCTGGAGCAGGTGGAACTTGAACCTGGCTCTCCTGAATCACAGGTATGGATACTACCACTGCACGGCTAACTGTTGCTCTGTAATGTTTGCAGGTTTACAATTATACCACCATACACTCAAAAAAAAAACAATATTAACATTGGAGAATTTAGTTGCAATGTTTTCGATCAACAGCTGCCTCTGATTACAAACTTATTTGGACATTTGAAGTTATGATTCTTCATATGTAAAGGTAAGTTGTATTTTTAAAAAAATAGAATTGATAGTCATTAATTCAAATGGATAGCATTTGAAAAGAATGAAAATAATAGTTATAGAATGCAGTATCAATTGACAGCCCCAGAGGCGAATTTCAGTCAGTTTTTTATCAAGGGAGAGTGGAGAAACTCAATATTATTCCACAATATTGTTGTGTGTTAGGTACTAATTACTTACATGCTTCATTGGATCATTTTGACATGCACCTTTGAAATACAAGAAGTGTTATAATCATGCTCAAAATAGTAAATTTAATTATAATTTAATTTAAGAAATACTAAACTCTAAAATTGATAGAGTTCCCACTTGGATAAACAACCAAGAACTACTAAAAAAATGTGAACAATCTGCATTGAAAAACAGATCTAAATCCACTGCTGCTTCGTGAAAGGAGTTCTGACAGTGAATAGCGTAAAATGATTATTGGAAATAGTAAGTTGTGAAGTTTCTTGTTTCCAAGTGCCTAGATATCTACTGTCCTTAAAAAATATGTATTATTGCTAGAACACTGCTAGATTTAGATCAATACATAGCTGTACAAAAAACGGTCTGCCATGTCTTGATGTATTACTGGCACAGAATTAAGCAAGAGAGAAAATCTCAAGAACAGATAAAGAATAATTTGATGAGCATGGCTAGTTCTGCATACCATAAAAGAATTCATTTAAAACAGAAAAAAAATTGCTAAAATTGTAGCAATACCACAAAAAGTGAGACCCTAATCGCCTTCCAAGTCTAATGTGAACTATGATGCAATTTTATGCTAAAAGTATAAAGTGAAAAATCTAAAACAAATACTCCACTTTCATGGAATGTAAACCAATTCAGTGATTTTTAAAATAATTTAGTCCTTTTACATTTTTTGCTTCTGTGTAAGGTTCTCTTTTGCTTTCTAGGGCGCTTGATTAAACTCCCAGGGTACAAAACATGAAAGCATAATGGAAATGAACTGGAATTTGTTCATCAATCTGTTCAAGCTTGTGTCACCATATAAAATAGAATGTTTATATCAGGGCATTTTGAATTGTTAATGCTGATGCAAATTATGTGACTTAAATGTAGTTTGTACCTAATGAAGCATAGAGAGAATGAATGTGGACTGTCTAGAATACAGTCTAATTAATATTTTATTGCAAAAACCTAAAAAAATGTCATTTGCTACCAATAATCAAAATTCTACTGGCAGATAGTAATAAAAAAGACAAACAAATGCTATTATTTTTAATACAAAATTCCAGAAGGGCACTAACAACGTGAAGAAAGTGAACAGTGAAGCATATAAAAGGTTCATGAAAATCTATTGAATTACTGAAACACAAATATAGTACAGTTTCCTGACAGAGGATATCCATAAAATAATACTGGATCTTTTTTTGTAGATTAGTCAACCTCACAACAGGAACCTCAAAGAGCTTCAGTTATTACATTGGAAAGGATTGTATTGTATATTTTGTTATGAACATGTAAGCTCCAACTGTAGGATGAAAAGTGAGTCTCGACAATATATCATTAAATGGTATTTACAACTTGCAGGAGACTAAATTATTTTATAGTTAATAATATAGTTATATTCACAATGCTTTGTAAAATCTTCATTAGTAATATCAAACTAATTGAATAAATTGCCGACCATGTTTTTGTGCACTAGATTAGAGTTTTCACATCATTAGCTGCAAAACTCTTTGGCACACCCGGAAGTTGTGAAAGGCTGCGTATCGAGAAGCTGCACATATAAGAGGTGGATCAGGGTGTGGGACATGAATCAGTCTTATTTCTAGCATATCACAAAATGTTTATGGTCATCTTTACAACCTATCTTTCTGCAAAGCTATTCTAGGATTTTGAAGTAGGCGAGTGGAACAATATTGGAAGAATGTCAGGAGATGGTTTTTGCTTAGAACAGAGTTACTTTGGAATATCCATAAAATAATATTGGATAATTTTTTGTAGATTAATCAACCTCACAAAAAAGCTTCAAAGAGCTTCAGTTATTACATTGGAATGGATTGTATTGTATATTTTGTTATGAAAATGTAAGTTCCAGTTGTAAAATGAAAAGTGAGGCTCTATTTTATATCATTAAATGATATTTACAATTTTACAGTAGACTAAATTATTCTGTAGTTATTAATATAGTTATAGTAACAATTAATAATGAATATTATGGAATAGGTGTGAATAGGAGCAGTACATAACCGTAAACAACAGGACTGGATCACCAAGCTGCATAGATTATCAATCTTGGAATCCAAATTTAATACAGGTCACATTGATAAAATTGAAGGGATAGATTTTCTTTCCCATTATTCCCATTGATGTGTGACATATTGCAAATAGTCTGATGAAAACCTACAGTGGGTGGTAGATCCTATTGATATTTCCCTTTGTTGATCTCTTCCTTTCCTCTCCACCACCAACCCTCACAATCCCACCAGGACCATCAATCAGCAAGCTACAGTGCGCTGGTCATTCTACCACAGGAAATTATTCTGAGTTCATCTCAATAAATCCTTACCCAATCTATTCCAAAAAAAAATCAAGAAAGAAGCAAGAAAGATTTTTTTCCAAGAAGCCTTTCAAGAAGTCTTTGCAAACCATGATAGTGCCATTAATGATCCAAAAGACAAATGCTGCTTTGATCATTATTCAGACTTTAATTAGTGGCAAGCAAGCATTTTCAGAAAAATCTTGCATCCTCCTCAACATTGAAAGGCAATTTGGTTTTCCTTTGACCAATACATGTCACTTTCCTATAACCAGGCAGACAAGAAAGATTAGAAATTGAACCACAAAAAGGATAAGTTGAAACAGAAAAGCCATTCCTCATGTAAAAGCAAAAGAGTGGATGTTGACAATCCGAAATAAGAAGAGAAAATGCTGGAGAAACTCAACAGGCCCATGGAGAGACAGGCTGAGTTAATATTTCAAATGGGAAATGACTGTTCTTCAGAAGTGAATAGTTCCCTTTTCAATCTTCAATGTGATGGCTTGGAAAAGCTTGAGCAGGAAAACAATGCTAGCCACCAGACATGGAAAGGAAATAGAAACACGAGTAGGCCATTTAGCCAACTGAATAAGTACCACACTTCATTTCACTACAACTTTCACAATAACCCCGCTATCTATGTCATTCATTTCACACCACTTCGAACCATTAGCCACAATGCTTTCTCTCTCTTTCCTCTTGCAGTTAACAGTGGAATATCCACCATCACCACAAAAATAAAGTCAGCACCACCAGAAGCCACCTCCTTGACTTCTGAGGACAAGATTACTGAGGCCTCAGAAAGAGGCATCAGCAAGGCTGCCACCTGGATCTCTCACCAGTTCAGACATTGGTAAAAACACCAGCATTACAAGTTTTGGGAGTTCAAGCTGGTGAGCAACTCACTGCGACAGCTCTGCAACTAGCTGAGGAAGAAACGCTGTAAGCTGCTGGCACTCGGGGAATGGCTGGAGATGAGACACCTACCTCGAAAGGAGAGGACCCTGTGGTATCAACATCAAGGATATTGTCCCAATGCTGAAGGAGAAACAACAATAGCAGAAAGGTATGTTAGATTCAATATCCCTCATTGCCGAGAAGTTTGGTCAGTTCTGTGAACCATGTGCCTGTCTAACTGCCTCTGTGGGCAGGTTAGTGGGTTGCTATGGAGATCCAGGCCAGCACCCTCAGGGTCTGCCAGAGAGAAGCACACATCTGCCCCAGCTATTGGTCCTCAGGACTGAAGGCATGAGCTCAAGGGGACAGGGAACTGGCTGCATACCCCAGCAGCCCCTTCCTCACAAGGGACAAGATGGGCACCAAGAAGGCACCCAACTGGAGGAAGAACCACACATAGGCCTTTCAGAAGTCTCCAATCAGAGCACTTCAAAGGTGGGCATGCCCTTCTCCTTCTCCCTGCCTACTCTTTTCTGACCATTAAAAGTTGTAGACAAAGAGGGGTTTGCCTCTGGCAGGAAGACCCTTACCATGTCTCAGCCAATCAGATACAAACCTGTAAAGCCAGTGGGCTACACTGCTGAGCAGACTCCCATGAGCCAGCAGTGGATCCAGAGAGTACACTAAGACATAGTGGGAAGGAAAAGAAGAAGAGACCCTATAGAGGTCACTTTGCTGACATGGATAATGACACACTGCTCACAATCTCTTATTTTGTGAAAGTTCACCATTTGACTTTACATCTGTATGTTTGAATCTCCCTGTAGCCTTGAATATAACTGTCAGCGTGATACATAATGTCACTTCTACACTAGATGTACGATGTATTAATGTGTGTGATGAGAGCCTGCTGAAGCATGTGGAATTGAGAGCAACAAGGCATATACAGGACAATAGACCCTCCTACAACATCCCAATTCTTTTCTGAGCCTCTGTGTCCAAAGGTGATGGTGTGAATGAGGTGGTCAACATTGCCTGGGGCAAGGAAGTACATAGCAAACAGGGGACCAATGCATTAAGATGGCTAGGAATTGGGGACCTCCCAGATCTGTGTCTTGTACAGTGCATGGGTCTGTGTGTAAGGTTGTTGTCCTTTAAAGGTCCTCACATCAATAGGTCCTGCAGCCACCTCCCTCGTAGGTCTTAGAATCACTTAAATCCCTGATTCTGGCCGTGTTGACATCATCTACTTTCCTCATCACCTTCTCTCCTATTGCGCACTTTTAATTTCCAGGACAGTTGCAGAATATTTCAATAACAGCAATGGCTTCTTCTGGTTAAGTTGAGTCTGATGTATCATAAAGGAGCCAAGAAACTTTGAAAACAACTTTAAAATGAGGATAGGCAGTTGAATGAGTCAAAGAGCATCAGCTGAGGATTAGAAAAGTTTTAACCTGTCTACAAAAAAAATGATGTGATACTTAATGAAAAGCATGAATTCTCAGCAACATTTATTTATTTCTTCAGGCACGTTGTTAGTAAGGCATAATAGCAGACCCACAAAGACAAGAGCCATTAGTGAATTCCCAATTCCTTCTTTACTCCAGGATTTGAACGATTGTAAAATTTCTACAGAATCTACACAAGTTACTGAACTCTTAAGACATCAATAGAAGGAAGATCAAGCATGATGTTGGGAAGAACGTCAAGAGCTGACATTGCATGTGATTAAGGAATGTTGGTTTTGCAAGCTATCTTCCTGTATTATAACTCCATACTACTGATGAAATATAAAGCAGATACCTCTTTTACAGGTTGGGGGCTGTGCTTTCTCAGGAACAGTTAGCTTCATGTCACAGACCAATTTGTTACACAGTGTGAAAGTTTTCCATGACTGAACCAAGGTATGTAATCACAGAGAACAATGCACTCACAGTCATGTGGGCTTACAGAAAATTCTCAGAATGTATCATCAGCTCAAAGGTTGACAGAGACAGATTCCTTGATGACAAGGAATTTCAAGAATGCATCAGAGGATCCTGGATTCTGGTTGAGATTTACTAAGCTTCACCTATGAAATTGTAAATCTTCAGGGCAGGCTGCAAATGCTAGCAGATGCTTGTCCAGAGCCACCATTGACCATCCTATATAACAGGATGTTAAATTCATTAATAAGATTGAGTCACATTCTCAGGTCATTGCAGCATGATAAGGCTCTGGCTGCATCTAATATCTCAGTGAGCATGCTTCTGCTCTCTGCTATCAATGTCTTTGTCTAAGTCTTCTGCGATCATATTTGTCTGCTGTCTCATCCCACTACCAATCTGGAAATGAAACATGCTTTTAGTCTGGCCTGGTTGCAGCACAGCCAAGCCTGATGATTCTGAATGTGCTGATCCAAATCTACATGAGTCTCAAAAGTAATTGTGATTTCAGTATCTGAGCTGGTGGCTGACACTGAGAACATTAGAAAAGCTCTCAATAGAAAATGGCACTAGGCATTACTAAGGAGCAGGTGGTGAAAGAAAGTCAGAAACACGAATGCAGGTGCAGAGATTTTACTACAGTTGCACATTAATATTGCATTTAGTTCTTTCTCAGTTTACTACTTGTTTTAGTATCAGCATTCTTTTCATCTTTGTACTATTTACCTACATAACAATAATTACCTGTTGCAGTAACTCATTGTGAGTCATTTATGAGTAATTTTGTATGGATTTTCAAATCAAAATCTGGAGAAGGAGTATCTAAATTGGCTTTCTTTCAGATAGTAATAGATTTGAAAAATAACTTTTCTCTTTTCCATTAGTCAGGAACTGCATCTGTCCAGATACTTTGTAAAAGGTTATCTTTCTAATATTTCAATATTTCCTTTACACTGAACCATTTCAAATATTCATTGTACACAATTCAATTTTTCCACATCAATTCACTTATGAAACCTGTGCATAATTGAATTGTCCAAAGTACGTGCAGAGCCATTAAACATTTTAATCTATTTGTGAGAGTGTGCCAACTACGATATTTATGGGCATACTTTCCATTCCATTGAATGCATCGTAATGATGTGACTTCACTGTAGGGTAGGTTATTTACTTTTTGGTCATTCTATAATATCTTTAATCAGGAATTTTTCAAAGTGGATGTTGTATATATTTATTTAATTGTTGATTGAATATATAGTTGGTGCTTCTGAAGACTGACTGTAGATACTGAATAGCTAAGCTATATAGATCAGGAATTTCCCAACCTGATTGCTGATCTGTGCTGCATTAGTTAATTACAGTTGAAGCAGCAGTAAAGGCACTATAATTAGCCTTGGCACCGGAGGTGAGGAAGAGGATAATTGAGCACGGTTGCTGCTCCTCTTCACTATCCGATGACCCCTGCTGAAATTGCTTGTGTGAACATCAGGTGATGACAAACGAATCGAATTCGCCTCTGCAGCCTTCTGTGATTGAACAACCTCTAATGTTTACTGTTAAACCTCATACATGAATAATGGGCACTTGAATGTGATAGCAGTGAAAGACCAATATGCATGGGTCTTTACCTAACTAAAGATTGAGAAAGGAAGGAGAAAAATTAGCCTGAATAAGTAAATAAATAATAACTTGACATAATCTGTTTCTATGTAGCTGTTAAACTGTTTAATGTAGCAACATATATAAATTGGTTCATTATTGCCATCTTGCTGTTCCTTATAAAATTTTATACTGCACAGTTTTTATGGCACAATTGTACAAAAGCAAGAGATTTGAAAGACACATAACGTCTGGGCTACATGTCTTGCATTCTGTTGTTGTGTTTGGTACAGACCACACAATACTTAGGGATAAACACTAGAATTCATTAGAAGTAACTAGGCCAAATTTCCAAGCATGAAATAAATGTACAGTTTCATTGTTGAAAACACATCATTTTAAAACATGGACTTCTTTCAGCTGTAATAAAATGAAAACAACCAACTGCAATGCATCTGTCATGATGAATCTGTAACATTTCTCAATCAGCCAACAAGATCACAAAGGATGTGAACACAGTGCTTACCATTGTATTGAACAGCAGGAGGTGCAGAAGAAGCTCTTTTTTAAAATCATAGTGGTAAGTTGGTAATGTTCTGAAAAATTGAAGCACGGTGTATAGAGAAACCATGTAGAGGAATAAAAAAGAATACTTGCTAAAGATTTATGCAAAAGCAAAAAAAAAGCTGTTAGTAAACATTTAGCAGGTGAAAATAGCAGGACATGTTCATTTCATTATAAATGCCAGAAGGGAGAAATTGTGCATTTTTCTTTGTCTTCTCCCAACCCAATAGGTCCAGAATATATAGGAACATTGGGCAAGAATAATTTTGTCCTTTCTGTTCATCCCTGAATAGCTTGGAGTCAAACCGATAGTAACTTAGATTAAATAGCAGATACAAATTTCCATGAATTAAGTCGTAATAAGAAGAGATATAAGAGGGAAAAACATAATGAAAATGCAAAAGACAAATTAAAAATTTTAGCTATGGCACTGTAGAGAGAAGCCTAAACTAGTATAATTGTATAATTTTAAGAAGAACAAAAATGATATGACTTTAATAAAAGCTAACATTACCATAGTCCTACCAGACCACAGGACTATTCCTTTGTTAGACAAAAGCATCACCGCACCTCAGTCAAAGGTAATGTTGAGAAGGAGAGTCCTTCATGTTGACTTCAGTTATGGCAGAGATTGAACCCATGCTGTGGGTATCACTCTACCTTGTAAACCAGCCATCCAGGCTGTCATGATTATAATGAGGTCATCCAGGTGGACCTCAGAAAATATAAGTACTCTGACTGGGGTGGTTAATCTGGTCCAATCGGGGAGCCCTGACTGACAGATAAGAATAGGAGTGTCAGACATTCTGTTCACTCTGAGAGCTGGCTCTGAGGAAACTGGACTCTCCACATGTAAATAAAGGCTGACTTGGTGTTGGGATACCAATCTCTGTAGAGTCATTTCACAGCGAACTGAGCTAACTCCCACAGCAACTTTGATATTGAAAATGTATCTTCAGCTTGCATTAAAAGTGATCTGGATGTCTTTTGTGTATTTCCTCCAGCCTCTATGAATACAAAATTTACAGTAACTAGTGAATTGTGAAACCTTTTTGTGTACAAATTCTCCTCAGAAGTGACTCCCTACAGCCAGATCACCGAAATAAAATCTTTCAATTGCCTCACTTACAGCACTGTGGTCATACCTACATCACATTGACTGCATCAGGTCGAAAAGTTGGCTCACTACCATCTTTCCAAGTGCATATAGTCTTGGAATGGCAGTGATATTCCAATGCCAATAAGAAAAAAAAGTATGTTCAATCTGTGTATGGATGACTTCAGATTTTAAAAAAAATTGCATCTGATGGTCAGTGAAAACTGTAGCATTTACTATCATAAAGCCCTGCTTCAGTCATCCCCTATTACTTCGTATCATAGAATCCCTACAGTGTGGAAGCAGACCACTCAGCCCATCAAGTACACACTAACCCTCTGAAGACCATCCCACCCAGACTCATCTCCCTACCCTATCCCTGTAACAATGCATTTACCATGGTCAATCCATCTAGCCTTCACCTCCCTGGGTATTATGGGCAATTCAGCGTGGTTAATCCACCTAACCTGCACATCTTCAGACTGCGGGAGGAAACCAGACAATCCAGAGGAAACCCACACAGACACGGGGACAATGTGCAAACTCCACACGGACAGTTGCCTGAGGATGGGATCGAATCTCAGTCCTTGACGCTGTGAGGCATCAGTGCTCATCACTGAGCCACCATGCCACCGTTGGAGCTGATCTTATTCCTTTATCTTTATATTTGAACAATTAAAAGAAAACATGAACATTTATATCAGGCTGTCATATCATTACAGTTGAAGTTAAACACGTGGGATGCTTTTCTGATCTAGTTTCTTAAAGATGAAAATAATTTTCATTTGGATGTCCTAGATACCAGGTGTACTGTAGTCTCCAACACTATTATCTCATTCTCTGTAGGTTTTTAGTAGCCTGCTGAAGAGGGTGCCTATGTAATCAGATATGGCAGCTCCCTTTGTTGCATTTTCATCAGCATCACTTCCAGGTCCCTCCTACTTAAGTGGAGCAGTCTCCCGATTTTTACCTTGCCCATTGATACTTCCTTCAACCATCACAAAATTGCAATGATGTTATTTGTTACCTGTATTTTAAAATAGCATAAAACAAGTTCATTCCTCTTTAAGGCAGAGCTGCATCTGTTTAGATTTCCTGCTCTACTGGATAACCCACCCTGCAGCAAATACATTCTCTACACAGTACCTAATTCGTGCAAGGAATACATAATTATTACCATAATGGGCTGACAACAGAGTCTATTCCACGGAATGATAGCACAAGCTTTGCACTGCAGAATAATAGACCTTGGTCCTTTTCCTCTCAAATCCAGACAAAATTGATAAACTAAAACTCTGGCCTCCGCTGGCTGTTAGAGCATGTGCTTCACTTTAAAGTAGAAGTTAATAAATATCAATTAGTAACTCACTAAACTCAATAAGGGTATTGCTCTCAAATTGAGATGAAAACATGTTGGTGCTAAAACATCTCCAATCAATAACCTGAGCAAAATATAGTCATTATAGAAAAGTGGATTTGTCATTCATAAGACATGGAAGTACCAATACCATACAGACATAATGGTTCAAATAGATACCTCAGCTTCTTGAGGGCAGTTTCCAACAATTCACACTGCCAAAGAATACCTTTGTTTTAAAATATTTACTCATACCTGTCATTTTTAAAATAATTTTTAATAGTAAGAATTTCACTCCGTGCAATCTTGCATCTGGTCATTCTCTATGTATATTGAGCAATATTTGCATTTAACACTGGGTGACAGAATTGGACATGTGTCCTGTTTCTTACTGCAAAGGTATTCATTTTGATTATTGGAATAATTCGTCAGGACTATAACTAAAATGTTTGATCTGATTGTAGTACATTAGGGACAATACTTCAAAAATACTTTGTGGCCTCTATGTGTACTTTGAGACATCAGAGATAGTGAAAGGACGTATATAACTGAAAATTTTTGTTATTTTTCTTTAATTCGACAAACAAATTGCATGTGTTATTAGATGTACACAGATCAAGGCGGAATACCACTCTGTAGAAACACAGACAAGCAGCGTATGATAAATTGGTCACAATTGATCAGTAGACGTTCCCTCTGTATGAGAAGTGAAATATGTTTTCTATTCTATTCAAAGACAGCCAACTACATGTGCTGTAAAGTATTTTGTATTTTACCCACTGTGTATTTATTCCTAGTTTCAATGGCACTGTACATGGATCTGCTATTTCAAATAGAAAGTAAATCTATGAAAAGTACAGAGCAGGAAGTACCGAAGCAGTCCATTCCTAAATGCAATAAGATTTGGACAATATTCAGGGTTGGGCTGACAAGTGCCAAGTAACAATAACACCATTTAAATGCCAAACAATGACCATTTCCAACAAGAGAGAATCTAACTATTCCAGGTTAACATTCAATGGTTTCCCACTATTAGCATCCTGGGATTTACTGTTAACTAGTAACTGAACTGAA